GCCCGGGGCTGCCGCCTGCAGTACCAGCGAGCCGGGGTGCGCTTCCTGGTCCCCTTTGCGGCCCACCCGCTGGACGGCGGCCGCCGCCTCACCCACCTGCTAGGCCCCGACTGGCTGCTGGACGTGTCCCACCTGGTGGCGCCCCACGCGCGCGTGCAGGACCCCCGCGTAGCGTCGCTGGAGGGAGGCCGAGTCCTGGTGGGCCGGGAGCCCGGTGTCACCTCTATCGAGGTGAGCAGCCCCTCTGGAAGGGTGTAGGTGGTCCCCAGTGTTCACGGGCAGGTGTGAAGGGTGTCGGAGGGGGCTCAGGGAGTATGTATCTGGGGAGGTATGAGCCCAGTGGGATTGGGTGAGAATGGGTGGCCCATGGAATGTGGAAAAGCCCTCTAGAGAAGGGCTGGGGTTGGGTATGTGGGGGCCAGATGAGAGGAGGGAACTGTCCCCCACATGTAGGATTGGGGTCCAGGTATGTATAGGGTGTAGTGTTAGAGTTCAAAGGGTTGGGGAGGGCAGCCTGTGCAGGTGCTGAGAGCAGAAACCCGATCCCTTTGTGGGGCTACTGGGGTCTCAGAGGGGAAAGGCTATCTGTGTGTGAGGACCCCCACCTCCAGCTCCTTCTCACCCTCAGGTGCGGTCCCCATTGTCTGACTCCATCCTGGGGGAGCAGGCGCTGGCTGTGACGGATGACAAGGTCTCCGTCCTGGAGCTTCGGGTGCAGCCAGTGATGGGCATATCACTGGCCCTGAGCCGGGGCACTGCCCACCCTGGGGAGGTCACAGCCACATGCTGGGCACAATCAGCCCTTCCCGCCCCAAAGCAGGTGACAGCTGGGGATCAGGGGGATAAGGTCAACATCTCCAGATGGGGGTTGATGACGGGGGTGGGAGGTACTTCGACCCCTCATCTTAGGATTTTCAGAATAAGGACTGACTGTCCTGGAAAGTAGTGAGCTCTCTGCAGCTAGAGGTGATCAAGCAGTGGCTGGAGTGTGTTAGTGGGAGGTTGATTAGATGGCTCTGAGGACCCTCCTGATGACTCAGACCTTGGGGCTGAGTGGCCAACAGGTGATTGACACACGTCCCCTCTCTCCCTGTGTTTTGTCTATCTGCCTGTGTCTGTTTTCTCTCTGGTCTCTCCCCCTCCATGTGGCCTGTCTCTGTGGGAGTGGTCTCTCTGTGCATGCGTGCGTGCCCTCGCGTGTCTCTGCCTGTGTCCGTGTGCCCCACAGGAGGTGGCCCTCTCCCTGTGGCTGTCCTTCTCTGACCACACCCTGGCCCCCACCGAGCTCTACAACCGCCATGACCTGGGACTCTCCGTCTCCGCCGAGGAGCCTAGCGCCGTCCTGCCATCGGAGGAGCGGGGTGCCCAGCTTGGGGTGGTGGTGAGTGGGGTGGGCACCGAGGGGCTGCCTCTGCACGTGTCTCTGCACCCGCCTGAGCCCTGCCGCCGGGGCCGCCACCGTGTGCCCCTGGCCTCTGGCACCACCTGGCTCGGGCCGCCTCCTGCTCCCACTCCAGCCCCTGCCCTCCCATCTAGCCCTGCCTGGGGCTCACCAGCCACAGAGGCCAGTATGGGTGGCGAAGGGCAGGCAGCAGGCAGTGTCGGGAGCAGTGGGGACGTGAGGGGCAAGTTTGAGCGGGCAGGAGAGGAACCTGGGAAGCAGGAGGCAGAGGCTGGGGAGGAGGAGGGGGAGGAGGAGGAGGAGATGGTTCCTGCGCCTCAGCGGGTCACCGACCTGGAGCTAGGCATGTACGCCCTGCTGGGCATCTTCTGTCTCGCCATCCTCATCTTCCTGGTCAATGGCGTGGTCTTCGTGCTGCGCTACCAGCGCAAGGAGCCTCCCGACAGCGCCACTGACCCTGCCTCCCCCCAGCCCCACAACTGGGTCTGGCTGGGCACTGACCAGGAGGAACTGAGCCGCCAGCTAGACCGCCAGTCCCCTGGCCCACCCAAGGGGGAGAGGGGCTGCCCCTGTGAGAGTGGGGGAGGGGAGCCCCTAACCCTGGCCCCGGCTCCTACTGGGGGCACCACCAGCTCTTCCAGCACCCTGGCCAGGAAAGAAGCTGGGGGGCGGCGGAAGCGTGTAGAGTTTGTGACGTTTGCGCCAGCCCCCCCAGTCCCCCCAGCCCAGCTGCCAGAGGAGCTCGCGGGGGCCCCTGCCGTGCAGTCCATCCTGGTGGCTGGTGAGGAGGACATCCGCTGGGTGTGTGAGGACATGGGGCTGAAGGACCCTGAGGAGCTTCGCAGCTACATGGAAAGGATCCGGGGCAGCTCCTGACCCCTCCCCAGCCTGCCTGGCCCAGGCTTGCCAGCCGGGCAGCCTCCTACTTATCCTCTGGTGCTTACTGATCCATGTCCCCGGCCTGGTCCCTCAAATGGACTCCCACCCAGGCCCCTCTGCTCTGCTCCTTGTCATGGACCATGGTCATGAGGAAAGGCTCATGCCTCTTATTTATGGGAATCATTTCATCCTAATGTTGGGTACAGAATAAATGGAGAAGGAAACCCCAGCTGCGACTGTTGCTGTCTTTTCCAGTGGAAAGAAGCGGGGGTGGGCATGTGTCAGCCCCTATCCCTGCTGGGAGAGTTTTGGGAGGCTGGGCCCTGAGCCACCCTCTCATAGCGACCAGCGATCCACATGAACAGGAGGGCCGTGGCAGCCTGAATGCCGGCCAGCAGGAAGAAGTACAGGTCCATTTGGCAGTTGTTGATGTTCCCTGGAGAAAGGAGAGGATGGTATTTGGGTCAGGCAGGGCTCCCCTGGCGCTGGCAGCTGAAGCAGCATGGCCAGTAGGTGGAATCAAAAGACACTAGGCAGACAGCCCTCTAGCACCTGGGTGCCCCAAGTCTACAATTCCCCGTGAGCTAGCTATTCTTTCTGAGGCTTAAAACACAATACCACAGGGAAAGGTGACCCCTCAGCCACAATGGCAGAGTTCCAGAAGCAGGAAGGAGCCTCGGAGGTCCATTGAGTTCCATGCTTCCTTTTTGACAGTTGGGGAAACTGAGGCCCAAGAAGGGGAGGCTATGCTGTGGGTGACTGGCCAACTGCAGCTAGAACCCCGTTCTCTGAGTCCAGCCCGCTACTTCATTCTGCTACAGGGCAAAGAACTCAACAGTTGCCACCACCCTCTACCCATGTCCCACTCCCCAGGAGGCCTCCACTCACCATGGTCCTTGGGGCAGTGTAACCAGCCCCTTGGCAGTGACAGCAGTGCCACCAAGCTGGAGCCCAACAGTGAGCCCATCCCCGACAGGAAGAAGAAGATGCCCATGATGGCGCCCTGCATAGAGCGCGGGGCCTCTGAGTATGCGAACTCCAGGCCTGCAGAGAGGAAAGAGGGATGACCGAAGGGGCCCAGGCCCCTGCCCACTGGGCCACACTCCCCCCACCCCCAGCCAGCCCCACGCTGGCTTTCCCTAGATGACTGACTGCTCCGTGGCTATGACAATGCCAGTGCACCACTGACCTGTCACCTCTGTCCCGCTCATTCACCCCATGGACCTCCACCTGGACATCTCTCCCACATTGTCCCACGGTTCTGGCTCCCCTCCTCCCCCACCTCCCTGCCATCTTCACCCTCTGTGTCCCCTATCCTCTCTTCCCACCTTTAATATCACCAAATCATTTTGATTCAACCTCAGAGCCCTCTTCTCTGTGTCTCCCTCCCCTGTGCTCCCTCTGCCCTGGGCCAAACCCCAGCCCTGGGCATTTCCTGCCCAGCCTCTGCAAATGCCTCTTAAACTCCCGTCTCCCATCCTCCTCACATACCAGATGTCTACAGTATTTCTAGTGGGGTCCTTTCCCTGCCCAAATCCCCTTGGGTGGGGCTGTTGCCCTCAGGAGAAACCTCAACATCCAGGCTCAACCCACAAGGACCTGCACCTCCAGCCTTCCCTGCACTCCCTGCAAGGCTCAGCTCTTTGCTTGTGCTGTTCCCTCGGCCTCAGATCTTTGCTGCCACCTGCTGAATTCTGTCCCCTCCCCACCTGCAC